GGATTGAATTGGCTGACCATTCCATTGATGTATATCTCCCACAGTAGGGTCGCTTGAGACTTTTCCATCGCCCCATGGACTTCCCGGATGGTAGAAAGTACTCGGCGAGTACTCAGATACCACTTCTGGTAGTAGCTTTTCGTAGATGTAGCGTGCCGGGAAGTCAGACTTTAACCAGCTGTCCGGGTCCTTATCTTCGTAGTTGTAAGTCAGTCCCTTCTCCTCCTGGACTTGATAATCTTCATTGTTGCCAACGTAGATCACTATTGAAGGACGGTGTCTCAATCGGCGGATGTTGAAGACTGTCTCCTGTCGTACCGACTCTAGTAGCTCGGGCCACACTGGGTAGTTGCCGCAACCGAACATAAAGTCTTGCCATACTAGCACGCCAAGCTCATCGCAAGCGTCATAGAAAGCATCGTCTTCGTAGATTCCGCCACCCCATACTCTGTTTCAAATTATTGTTAGCCGCCCTCTAATATGTAAGTTCTGTTCTAGCATACCTGGTCATCACCTGGCCACCGGCCACCATCAACTCGATCCACTTCCGGTATCGCTCTGCGCTGACACTAGGGAGGAGGTTATCGGCAGGGATCCAGCAGGAACCTCCACAGAAAATATCTGTTCCGTTGATTCGGAAAAAGAATGACTTCCCATGCTTATCTGGTTGCTGAATGACTTCGGCGGACCGAATGCCGAATTTCTTAGACACATTGTGTAGCTCGTTTCCATCGCATAAAAGTGATACTGACACTTCGTATAAGGTCTGAGAGCCGTAGCCATGTGGCCACCATAATTCGGGATTGTTGACTTGAAAAGTGGCTTGGGCACTTTTATCGTCGCTTATGGGGATATCCTGGCTTGTGATTTCGTGTCCACGTAGAGTCAAATGGAAGCGAGCGATATGGCGTTCCAAACTAACCGCATCAATTTTCGCAACTGCTGTAACGGTCGCAGTTTTATGGTCAGGAGCGAGGTGTGTCTGCGGCCATAGGTCCTCTACTCGGGCGGAGTAGATTTCCAATCGCACCTCACGCCAGATACCAGCTGTCATGATAACTGGCCCCCAATCCCAACCCCAATGGTATTGAGCCTTGCGCACGCCTAAGCGTGCTGGGTCCCCAAAAAGGCCGACCCATTTATGATTCGGGTCCTTATTGCGTAGCTCGGTCGCTTTGGTCTCGGCGCAATCGAATTCGATCTCTAGAACGTTTGTGCTGTTGGGTGACCCCATGGCCTCTGTTATATCCACACGGTAGCCTAGGAACATATTGTTAGCCCGGAGGATTGTCTCGCCGTTGAGCTTGACGGAGGCAAAAGTGTCCAGGCCATCGAACACCAGCGCGGCGGTTGCGCCAGCAGGGATTTCCGGTCGCTGAAAAACGTGTCGATACACCCATGCCTTCTTGTTGACCCAACGCGCCTTGAGTTCATTAAGGCCTAGGTGGGGATCATCGAGCCTACATAATAAAGAAACGTCAGTCAATGTCACATTCCAAGATTGTATGGTAGTGGGGTCCCCAACTTTTTGTTTGCAATTAGATCCTGCTGCACGGTTGAAGGCACTGCTGCCACGGGCATCCATGCACCCGGTGTCTCGTCGTCTCGATCCTTGAATGTCCATTCCGTGGACAGGACTTGCTTGAAAAAAGGCATTTTTGTGACTCAAATAGAACACAAATTTCTTGTTGATGTTTCACAGCCGGTTCAGTTAGGAGCAATTTCTGAGAGGGTGGAATGGGCCAATTTATATCGGCAGTGGGCACTTGAACGCGACTGGGTCCTTTTCTGTCCAGATCAAACCTTTCAGCTGTAAATTTGCAGAGAAAACATGCTTAACAGCACAGAATCATAGTCTTCTCGATACGATATCTTTAGAGGCTGCCAGACCACCGCTAATACCTCCTACCCCACCTGCAATGTAGATCGGCCGAAAATGTCACGCTGTGACCACTTCCATTCCGTCAAATTGCCTCTTTGAGCAGACAGTGGGCGGAAGTCCGATCAAAACAGGTAGTTCCGAAGAACTCCGCCTTTTGATAAGTTTTATAGTAGTGTCAGGTTCACACCTCTTTACCAAAGTGTAGACTCTATTCCAGTCTTAGCATTTAAACATCATCAACTAAATATAACAGCTCAGAAGAATGATGCCCTTGAGATCTTGAAATTGTGCGTGAACAGCCCGAAGATTGCGAACAGGACTCAACGCATGCCTGCCAACTTGGCAATTGAGCTTCTTAGACCTGGTCTTAAGGACTCCTTCAAACATTAGAAGCTCGATTCAACTAGCTATTGGATCCTTTTTGCAAGGGCAGTCGAGGAATGTTCAAAACGGCCCCAAATTGAGACGCATTGTTTTCCTCTGGGCAAATTCCCCCACCTACATATGGGCAGGACATACCCAGGGACATTGGTTTAGTGCTCTCACAAGACTACTCCTTACACGACTCCCCTACCGGCCTGGTGTCTTCAGCAAATCCGAGATTCTTAATACGATTTTGCACTTGTGAAATGATAACATCCTCGATGGACGTTAATTAATACATCAACAACAACAAATAGTAGAACTGACACTATGACCAGCGTTCCAAGCTCAAATTATTTGATTGTGATGGCAAAATTCTAGTGATTGTAGTCTTTAATAAGCCTTTATAAAAATCTTTAGCGATATTCTGTGTTCGAAGTCCTGCGATAAATTCTACATGTTGTTAGCGCGAATTATTACCCACAACAACCCTATTTTTAATTCATCCTTTCTTAAAGACGGTCTCTTGCCAATCTATATAAGATAACGCGCATGTATATATATCGCTAGAATTGTGAGAAAGTAGTTTAGAGAATATGGGGTTATTATACTAAATATTAGATCAATTAAAATCTCTACTTAATTGGCTAACTATTAGTATTGAATACATATATTTAAATCTTTGGTAGTATAAAAATATAAATTTGAAAGTGGTTATATATATTTTACGGGGTGCGGGTAAGACTTGACTCTGTCGCAGGACTTGGGATCCTAGAGAGACAGAAGGTGTGTTTATATTAGAACAATAGCCTAACGTTGGAAGGTCCAATCGGTCCCAGGGGGAACATACCATCCGCAGGCCCCATCCCTGAGCCCCAAAGGTTATCATTGGAACCAGTTAGGACTACGGTGTTGATATATAGAATCTAGGTGCATTGGTAAGGGTCAATCATCTAAGTTGCTATCCTAGGTATTCTAAAAATTTGACTTGAACTGGGAACTACTTTGCCCCTTTGACTGTTCAATATCCTCATCAGATTCATCTTATAGCGAGGAGAACCACTTGGCATTTATTATCCTCTTGCTCGGCTCTCCGCCAGAGGGAATGCTTAGACATGGAAGCCAAAGCTAGCGATATTTCAATGACGTTGGTACTTCGCTTGCAAATACGCTAGCGCCTTAAAGTTTATCTTGCTAATCATCAAACTAGCCAATTTAAGTTTCCCGGTCTAATTCCGAAAGAGTGAGGATTTGAAAGAAGGCCTACGTTTATTAAAGGGGACAAGAGGTAGTTGTTTTTGGGTTCTATCTCGAGACTATTACGATGGCGGCCAGAGGATGGAGGAACTACAGAGGAACTACTCTTTGATCCCTAGCTTCAAGCGTAGTTATGCGTTAGAAGAAGTAAAAGAAATTTTATTAGAGTGAAAGAATCAGTGCAGTGAATTCATAGTAGGAGAAGTATTAGATTCTATAGGCTCGTCTTTGTTCAACAGTCCCATATCTACTCATAACCAACCATGTACCTAAACATCTCCCTTTCTGGACCCTCCTCTTCTCAAACAACTTCAGATCAAAAAGAAATAAAAATGCGTTGGATGGTATTGCCAACGATAATGGCTCCCGATGTTGGCGTAGAAAGCGAGAATGGCGCAAAGGAGTAAGCACCTTCGTGGTTGGTATCGCACAATTTTCTTTAACGGCTGCACTAGCTAGAGAGAGTCGACTTCGGTACGTATAAAATCAATATTCGTGGCTCGTTATGGGCTATCAATAGTGCACGAGAAAAGATATAGCCTGTTCTCATTTCTTATCTAATGGAGCCTGAAGTATAGCCCTGCTCAGTCTAGCAAGCCGTCACCGAGTTCCCTGCCTTTGGTTGCACCTGGAATTGCTCTGTTGAAATTCCTCGTTTTTCATTCATTAAAATCTTTTATTGCAGGGTCACATATAGAAAGCTGATAAATTAACATTTTTATGCTACGTTAAGTACATCTAAGAACACTTTAGGGGAAAACTTGAAACGCCAGGTTATCCATGGACATGTAGTTAGATGCCTACAGTTGTATTACGTAAGGCTGCCTATTTGAGTTCACAGTGGGCGGAAATCCGATCGAAACAGGTAATTCCGAAGAAACTCCGCTCAAGTGTGGGTCCTGCTGACCTTGGAACCTTCCAAAGATAAAAAATTCGGATAGTACATGTATCGATTAGGTACGGAGTACGGAGTACTATTTGACCTAACGCCTTATCCTTTCTCCATATCATTTAGATATGTAGTCTCATAAGCATCCTCCTTAAATCCATCTTTGGGTCCCGTGTTGTCAACATCCTCGTTCAATTATGAGGCAACATCTCCTTCGAGCTATACTTGAAAGTTTGAGACTAGTGTAGTACCTGAAACTACGTCCACATTAACATCCATCTTAATATAGAAAGATCCGCGCGGCAAATAGGAAGAAAAATGGGGAAAATGGGGTTGTGTCTCGATATCTGCCAAGTTCACAGAAAATGCAAATGAACTTTCAATTTACTACGAACCAACTCCTGAAACAAGTTGATCATTTCCAATTTTCACACGGGAAGACACAGCAATTCAATCATACCATTCATATTGCTTCAGATGCCAAACTACGCATAGCTACCATTATAAAAGGAAGCCGCTGGTCTCGAAATTTTTAAAACATCACAAATCTACCAACCGAACCAACCGAACCAACCAGCAAACAATTCATTCTTTTTGTCTATTTGCAAGATGCAGCTCCTCTCCATTTTCTCGACTTTGGCATTCGTGTCTTCTGTGATCGCAGCTGATCGGGGCCAGTCCACCATTGCTGGGCTCGGGGCTCGTAAGCAGGAGATCTTGAAAGCTGGTGGCAACACTCGTGACTTGGCTATTTCGATGCTGGAGACGTGAGTTTACTTCTTTGGTCTTTGGGATACCACCGCTGACAAGTACTAGCAACAACATGAACACCGATTACACTTATGGTGTGTCCAAACCTTGGCCGGCGAAACGAGTGGCGGTGCTAACATTCATACTTTAGGTGATGGAAAGTCTGGTGACGGTACCAACTTCGGCATTTTCAAGCAGAATTGGTACATGCTAAGACATTCTGCATCTGAATTCCTGAACAACACCGTCGACCAGGTCTCTGATGGTGCCATTCTCAAGTAAGTTCTGGTGTGGTTTATAAGGCGGGATATATTTGTCTAATGCTCGATCGCTAGTGAGAATCTGGAGAAGGACATCCAAGCCCGTCACGAGGGTGAGAAGCACTTCGGGTATGAGACCTGGTTTAGTGGCCACCGCAACGGAGAATCAGGTGTCATCAAGCCGGGCACCCAGGACATCAAGGGTGAGTTTTATCTGATATCATCCTCTATTTCACGGACCGCTCGGCTGACTTCGTTGACAGACTACATGAATGGCGTGGCATGGATTCAGCAGCAGATTGAGAGTGATGAGAAGTACCAGAGCGACGATACTCGCTTCTGGGTTAATGTTAAGGCCATCTAGACACATTGGTGGAGACCTTGTGGCAGACATTCAGCTACACACCGGAATAAGGCTTTCCGCTGTATACTACGGGTTGTGCTTCGCAGCCGTGACCCACATCCCTTGGGACCGTTGACATTCCTTTTACTCACCCACTCGGGCGATATTGTATTTACAATCCTGTTATCTGAGCTTTAGTTGTGAAGTATTCGCACGAATACACTCCTTTAACAAAACTTTATTGTTCCTAGTGCGGGATAATATTGGGTTATATATGTTCTCATCTGCATACGTCATGTCTGATTTTGGTTTGGAAACGGGGCTTCCCGTCCCCTCGGCCGTTTTTGAGCCGATCATTCTGTAGGGCCAATACCAGCGCCTTTAGCACCTAAGCGCCTAGGCTGAATGCGGGTGATATGTTTTAACTTCGTTGGAAATAGCGGGGAATGGCGGGGAATATGACGGCGGGCATATGTCCCAATAATGCCCTCTCGTTAGGGAAGTATTCCCCGGCTGCGGTGATAATGTTGACTTGGCGATCACCTCCCAAATATCTCGTTTTTGCCACCGCCCTTCCCAAACACGCCTAATTCCCCGCGAGTGGTATCCATGTCAATCCAATGGGGAGGATCTTGCACCCCCACCCCGTGGGGAAATGTACCCCTGTGGGGAAATAGCCTTTCGCAGTCAAAAGGTGGATCGGTCTTGGATCCTCTGTGGTAAACTGAATTGCTGCATTGTCGATTTGCATATGGCTATAAAACACCCCAATGACTTGTGAAGGGCCCTTATGTTGACTCCCACATTATCTATGCCCATAATTGCCCCCGTTATTGTTTGAAATTCCTCACATTAAGATTCACAACGAACATGAACCCGAAGAACGAAGAAGAGCGATTGGAAGACATATCCAAGGATTCTGTCCAGCAGATGGAGCATGTTGAACCCGAAGACTATGTGAAAGTTCAGTCCGACCTCAGCGGCATTGAGGCAACAGCTGCCTCCAAGACAGCTTGGTTGATCTCCATTGTCGTTTCTATCGGCGGGCTCTTATTTGGTATGTTATCCATGTAACCGTCCACGGGTGAGGGGTCATTAGCTGATGATGTATTATCTAGGCTACGACACAGGTTATATATCCGCCGTTCTAGTCACAATCGGATCATCGCTCGGCCATGTCCTTAGCTCGAGTGAACAGGAAATGGTGACATCCCTCACAAGCGGTGGCGCTCTGGTTGGTGCGGTGGGAGCTGGTCTCACTGCCGACCGATTTGGTCGTCGTTGGCCCATCTGGGGCGCCTGCCTGGTCTTCGTGACTGGAACTATCCTCCAGATATCCGCCTTTTCCGTCGGCCAATTTGCGGCTGGAAGATTTATCGTGGGTCTTGGGGTAGGCAGCGTATCTATGATCGTTCCTCTGTATAGTAAGTTTCTTTCCTCCCGAGTCACTGTCTCAATGGGCTCACCTATCCACAGTTGGCGAGCTGGCACCTGCACAATACCGCGGCCGTATGGTTGCGTTCAACAACATGAGTGTCACCTTTGGTCAACTCCTTGCAAGTGCCCTAGGTGCAGGTTTTGCTACTGTAAAGGGCGAAGGGTGGCGAGCGACCGTCGGTATTGGATCTGCCCCAGCTCTTGCACTCGTCGGATTACTGTTTTTCTGCCCAGAGTCACCTCGACAGCTCGTTGCTCACGGAAAGCATGAAGCAGCGGACGCTGTTCTTCTAAGGATATACCCGAAGTCGACTGTTGAGCAACGGCAAGCTAAAATGAGATCAATCGAGCTATCCCTTCAAGAAGTGACTCAAGCTATGAACAACGAATCTCTTTGGGTCACTTTTAAGCGAATCTTCACCACACCTTCCACTGGTCGTGCAGTTTTAACTGCCTGCATGATCATGGCAATTAGTCAACTTGGAGGGTTCAACACTCTAATGTACTATGCAGCAACGCTATTTTCGATCGTCGGATTCAGCAATTCCACAGCCGTCGGCATCACAGTCTCCGCTACAAACTTTGTCTTTTCAATTGTCAATCTGGTGCTTGTGGACAAGTTTGGCCGTCGTATTCTTCTAACAATCACCGTCCTTGGAATGTCTATCTGCATGATCATCGCTGTCATTGCGTTTCGATATATCCCAATAGATACTGAGACACTGGTTGTGGAGAGTAACAATGTCGGCTGGCCAGGCACCCTGGTCCTCGTCGCGATTATTTGTTACGTCGCTTGCTATTCATCCGGCGTTGCAACTATTGCATGGATTGGTACTGAGCTGATTCCTCTCGAAGTTCGAGCAATGGGAACCATGCTAGTATGTCCACCCCTGTTCCATGTTTTTAATACACGTCCTAACGAGCCGGACTAGAACACCGTTACATGCTGGAGCACGAATATCATCATTTCATCGACTTTCCTTTCCATGATGAAGAATTGGACCCCAAGTGGTGCTTTTGGGTTCTATGCCGGAATCTGCTTCTTCGGTTGGGTTTTCGTGGTCTTATTTTACCCTGAGTGCAAAGGGATGCCGTTGGAGGCTATTCGAGAAGTTTTCAGTAACGGATTTGGGGTCAGGTACTCGAAGAAGTGGCAGAAAGACCACAAATACGATGCCAAGGTTGAAACAATGGTCCTGGGACATTAGATCGACTACGAGACTACCTACACCTGAATATGTCCATAGGATCGCTCAACAACAAGCTCTGCCAAATGAATTCAGATTGTCTTCCTAGGGCGTTTCCATTTTTATGTACTTAATAATGGATACTCGAGTGATTGCAGTTAAATGTATAACTCGCGGGGCCTATGCAGTGCATTTGATGTCGTCCAATATGGAAGCTCTCGGTAGACTGGCTAACAGGATGGTAGATAGGGAAGCTGGACAACCACCGTGTGCCCGTTTATGGAAGCAAGCTGCAAAGCATTAACATTATTGCCGCCCTACGTATCGACATCCGCTCCTTTTCGCAGAAGAAGCTGGACTCAGCTTTTATCTCCTGGAGGGAAGCGGGTAGGACACGATACACAGTTTTGTGACGAATGGCGGTCTTAAGCGTCGATATGCATCCAGACGCAGCGGTTCCTCCTCTTCAGATGACGCATGACCCCGCAGATAGATCCATGGATAGGCTAGCTAAGCTGTCAGAATGATTGAGCCGTATATAAACCCCTTTAACAAATTCAAGGGTGTCTTCATTTTTAGATGACCTCAGAACAGAAGCGCGTTTTTCCTTCGATGATAAGTAATGTGAGAGATACGCTTGTAATACTTCATTAAATATGTTGAGATGGTCCACACCGCGAGATCTAATAACTACGCATCATCCGAGATAGTAAGGTGAAATCTATTTCCCCCCTTCTCTCCAAGTCGTGGCATGGAAGCATAGTCGGAAGCATTCAGCAACTTAAGCGCAATCGCTCGGAGTTGCCTTACGGCGAGCCATCGCAGCCACGTCTGCCTCGGGGGAATTGAAATCCACAAATCCATGTTTCTGGTATAGCGGTGCGCCCTCCTTGCTGGCATCCACGTAGGCAGCAACGCCATCCTTATCCGCCAAGTCGCAGCCCCATTTTACAAGCATAGAGCCCGCTCCGCGCCGTTGGTAATCAGGATGAGTGCCTAGTGTATCCAGGTCTTTTTTTTCGGTTTCGGGTGTCAGTAACAATTTCTTCCTTTATGGGGGTTTGAAGGAGTTTCATTCATACAGTAATGTTTCTCGTCACCCATGACGCGTTTCCTCGCCTGCTCCAGTTCTGCAATTAAATCCTCACATTTTTGGTAAGGTGAGTCTGCATGCCAAATTGGAAAGCGAAGACCTCGCTCATTTGGCATGGCCAGGTCCCATTTGCCAAAGGCAACTAGCCGCGGTCGGCCTTGTTCATCCTTCGACTCGGTGTCAACTACTCGCAGATATCTGCAGTGTGACTTCTGAATGTCCTTCATGTGCCAATCACGGTGCCATTGGTGCATACCGGGCGTGTTGGGGAAAAGTTCGGCGATCACCGGCTGTGTGAAGGACGCGAACCATACCTCAGTGATGGCAGGAACGTCTTCCGGTGTCGCTGGCTCTAAAACGAGAGAATTTTTGGTTGATCCCATATTGAAAAATTGGATTGAATATGCGTTCAATCTAGCGGAAGATTATGGACTAGGGGTTTCACACCAGGGCAAGGCGTGTTTAATACAATTTGATAAATAGCGGGGGCTATCTCCCGGTAAAACATGATTCCGGAGGGAGGTATTGACGTGCGTTTCGATATGCGGGTTGAGGAGCAGGGGTAGAGCAGGATTAGAGCAGGGGTAGAGGGTGCATAGAACTTTCGAAGGGAGAACCGATAAGAGAGTTGCATCGGTTACCTAGAAATATATGCCCCTCGACATGGATAAATTCAAAAATGCCGCATATAAGGGGCCTAGCCACTTTGGCCTTTATGTTTTGGCCCCCGAAAACAATGTCCTATCATACGATGCACTCGATATTGCTAGAGAAAAAGAAGAAGAAACACACATCAATAATATTAGGTTCCCCACGGGATGTGAGAAGCTTATTATTGTTATTTCTCAAGTTGGACGACCACTTCTGTTTCTAACCTATGACTGTATCTCCGATTCCCCCATTATGTGCGCCTGGCTCGACTGGCTGTCAACTTCCCAATCCTGCGTGACCAAAATTTGATCTTGTGGAATCGGAAAAGCGAAATTTTCGTGGCTCTCGAACTTGGCCTCGTGGTCCCGGGACTCGGACTGCACCTGTGATTGCGAGCGCATCTTATAGCTCCACGAGGTCGGTTCTTCCACGCCATCGAGCCTGAGTCCGTTCGATCGCATCCAGGACAGGAAGGGGTTAAGTTGTCCCCAACAGGCCGTCACGATACTGAGGCACTGAATGAGCACCTCAAAAATAGTTATTTCACACATCTGAAAAGCTGGGTCATTGGTTTTCGTGGCTTTCTTAATAAAGGCAAGCTCAACGATCGTTGCGACCGTCACACTATTCAGGGAAAGAGTATGAGTTTTGAG